ATCAACACTCAGAGCTGGGAACTGATTCACTAATGTTGGGCTCGAAGAGGACCCACCGGCTCCCGGGGACGGTGTCTTTTTTGGTACCGGTAAGTCGCCCAACCTGGTAACATCCTCCAAGGTGGTAGAATCCAGTCCATCGAAGAAGTGATAAAGAGAATCTACTGCTCCTTGGGCCCATTTGCTGAGGGAACCTTTCACCATATGGGCCTCGTTTATCGTTGAATCGATAAACGAAAGCGGCCCAGAGAGGTCGATCACTCTAAGCGCCTCCTTAGGTATATTATCTTATGACCCAGAAGTACCGTCCAAATTCCCTTTGTCAACATCCCCAGCTCGGGGAGAAACGGCCTCGACCCTCCCTGGTTCGGAGGCTTCGGCCGCTACTTCTTCTATGGCCTCCATGACTTGAGGCAGTTCAGAATCACTCCTCATACGGGCCACCAGATTGGAGTCTTCTTCTTCTTCTTCTTCTTCGGACTCATCCCTTAACCGATGGAGTGATTCCGATGAGAGATCTGGGCACTAACATCTTTGGTTTTGCACATCAGTCGCTTATTCGGTCTTTTCTTTTTGGGGTTCGAGGGGCTCAAAGCTTTTATTTTCTTCTTCTATTTATCCTGCTTCGGAGTAGGGGGATCTGCGTATATGTCGTCATCAGCTGATGGAGGCCTCATTTCAATGTCCTTTGATAAACCTGCAAAATAAAAATATAACGGATCAAAAATCGATGATGAGAACATAAGATCAAATATATTATTAGGGAAAAACTCTTACCATGTTTATGGGCCTCCCATCGGCCTTTCGAGAGCTCACGCCATAAGCGCTCGGAGTAGGGTATTCGTGTCACGATGCCCTCGACCCACTCTTTAAGTTCAGGAATGGAGTCCGGCATTTGGGCTAAAACTGTATCACATAACATCGATGCGAAACAAACAGAATGAAAAGCAATAAAAGAAATACCCAAAGCAAAGCTAAACTTATGTTTCATGTTCCATTTTTTAGGAAATGGCATGTCCACAACCGGGATTAAGTCCGAAGTCCTCACTTGAACAAAGTGACCAAACCAGCTCCGGTCCCTGTCCTCGTCTATGCTCGAGAATAAGGTCTTGGTGATTAATGGCTGTGGGAATGAAAAACTCTTTGATCTTACATATGTACCTCGAGACTGGTTCACACCGACCCGGTACCATAGGTGTATTCTCAACCTTGAAGTCAGCCACAGTCGGGCACCCAACAGGGATATATGATCTCAAAGGGGGTTCCTCAGTAGTAGCATGAGAAACGTTTTCAGAAGGTTTTGAAGAAGAAAGTATTTTTTTTTAGGAACAGACTTTGAAGTCTTTGCCTTTTGTTTATAAACAACAAAGAAAAGAAGTTGTTGGTAAAGGAAGCTTTGAGGCTAACAGTTAGAAAACCAGATGGTAAAGGAGGTGAAATTTTCTTAGAACACAAGAAGAATTTGAGTGTAAAAAGTTCTAATAAATGGATTAGAGGGTATTTATAAGTTTCTCAAGCGGTGGTTCATCTCCCGAAGTAGCCGACCGTCAACTGACAAACATTTAATGCCTCGAAGACTGGACTGACGGGATGTTTCCACTATTCTTATCACCTATGTCATGTATCCATCGTCATGATTTATCGAAATGAATACCGAGGGTTCATATCGTTTTTCATCCTTTGCTCTCCGAAAAACAAGGAGACTATCTATATATGGGTAGAACTGAACTCGATGCATGATCGAGCATTTGGAACAATAGACCAGGCTCGGCACATCTGTAAGAGATCGAAGTTACAGATGAAACCGAGCTCGATATCGAGGTTCAAAGTTCGACAAGACCATCAGATTTGCCATTGAGTTTACCGAAGGCACGACCGATCCTGTTTCTAATGGCCTCGAAGAAGAGCTTTGCCAACTCATCCGACAAGGATCCGTGATTCTTGCCATTAACCAATCATTATGGCGAAAATTACGGGATTAAGTCAAAAAAAAGCTAACGGTCTACATAATTTCATATAAAATAATGTCTTAAAAGCCTAATCTCCTTAAATATATAGAGGGGACTAAGTAACTCAGGGAGGGGATTGTAACATACTTCAAAGAACAAGATACTATTTTTTTTCAACTTTGTTCATATTATTCTGGCTTCAATAATATCACATCTAAATTCGAAGGAAGTTAACCTTGTGAGGCTTAAGTTGTTCAATCTGCATGGTTTGCATTTATTTTTCTACTTATTCTTCCATATTAAATCTGATTTCTCACTTTGTATCAAATTAGATCACTTATCCTTAAAACCGCGTATAAATTCAATTGTTATCCGATTTTGGGGTAAACATTATTATTATTATTATTATTATTATTATTATTATTATTATTATTATTATTATTATTATCATTATTATTGAGAAAATGGACAGTATATGCCTTCAATAGCAGAATAAGAGACCAGTATGTATGCAAATTTCAACTTAATCTCTCAACTAATTCCAATTGAAATTTACTAATGCATATTAAGTTATTTAAATCCATACATTTTTTAATATGCTAAAAATAATCCAAGATGCAGCAAAATTCTGAAATCACAAATAAAGGTTTACGTGTTCCTATTTTGGGGGGTTATTAATAGATATTGTGATATTTTATATGAGACTGCAAGTAATCATAATTAAATGTTGTTTGACTAAAGTATAATCTACTAATAAAAAATTAAGTTCACCTTCTCCTGATAATGATTGTAATTATTTTATTGAGGCCTGACATTTTGGTCATCATAGAGAAGGATAAAATTAGGGATAGAATGACCACGTAGAAAAATGTATAACTGATTCTATCTAAGAGCAATATGTTAATATGATTGGCAATGGCACGCCTAATAAATTTATAATCTTCACTAATTTCCCTGATTAACGATAATCAGGTGCTAAACTTTCAAAAGCATTCAAAATGAATTATTCCTGGACTTGCTAAACTATGTTCTCTTGTTTATCAGCAATCCAATATCAATTATCTAGTGAAAGGAGTCCATAATCTTTATCTAACACGTGTTTCTTTATCGAGTTTAATGATTAGAACTAACAAACATTTTGAGCGTATTACCAAGCCAGCACGATTATTTTCCTTTTCTTATTCTATTAAAAATTTGGAACTTGCTAAAAGTCAATAAAAGAAGAGATCAACCACAATCAGCCTCCAAAATTTTAGTGAACAAGCAAAGAAAAAAGAAGAGGTTAATTTTACGGATAGTTCAACATTTATTTTATTATATTTAAATTATTAAATTACTTTATGTAATGAAAACGAGAGTATCACAAAAAATCGGTAGGAGGAAACAAATAAAACATGGTGATTTTTATGAAATCTAAGCAAATTGAGTGACTTTTTTATTATAAAAATAGTTTACTAACTTCGGAGCAATAGAATAAAACTTGAGTGATCATCTATGTTTTTTAAAAAAAAATTATTTAAAGGAAGTTAATAAAAAAAATTCAGTAGTAAAATCATGCTTCCAGATGCAGCATCATTCTGAACATTCACAAGAAGGGATTGATTATGCTTTAAGATAAATGCTCAACTCCTCTCTTTCTCTATCGTAATTGATTGGCATTGTGGCAATAAACCAGTAGTTGGCATGTGGCGAAGTATTCATCACATTTAAGATTGATTACAAACAATAAAAGCAAGAAATAATGTGTAGGCGTTGTATGCTAATACTTTAACCAAAGTTCTGCTAGCTACTTGCTTTGCTGCTGCATTTAGCTCCAACGATACGCCCATTTGAGTCACCTAAACCGAGGTATTGGTAACAATTTTCTAGTCTCGTAAAAGAGTATGTGACACAATAGATAGAATGCTAACAAAAACAAAGACTTTTACTAAGAATTTCAAACATAAACATGCTGTGAAATAATTAAGGACATTCTCATCGACTCTATTGACTCTCGTTCTAGTTTGACAGAAAGGTAAAAAGCACTAAATTTTTCTTCCTAGTTACTCCCTTGTTTCAAGTTAGATGAGGTAGTTTGACTCGGCACAGAGTTTAAAAAAAAGAATATTTTTGAAACTTGTGGTCTTAAAAACTTAAGAGATAAAAGTTTTGTGGGGCCATGACATTTGTGTGGTTATAAAAGCTTGTCATTAAGGATAAAATTAGTAAAATGAAGAGCTTAATGTTGAATTATTTCCAAATTTAGAAATGTGTCATTTATTTTGGAACAAACTAAAAAGGAAAGTACTTCATATAATTTGAAACGGAGGGAATAGTATTTTTGCAACTTACGTAATTTATAATTTAGAATACAGCAATAAAATCTGAAAAGAATTGGGTGACGAGGGAGGTGGTGGTGGTGGTGGTGGGAGAAGAAATGGGGGGAGGGGCTAAAATGGATTGGAATGCTGAGGTGCATGCCACATGGTGTCCACCTCACCGAGATATCAATCCACTTAGGATGACGTTGTCATGGTGGAAGGTCCTAACGGTGAAAGGAAATTTTTGTACCAATTTTATAACGTCAAAATAGTGATGGACCGAAAGTATAACCTAGGATATAAGTAATCCTTTTCGCACAGTAAAAGTATTTTTGACCCTTATGCTATGTTGTATATTCCATTATAATTGAGGCTGTTAGTAAAATTGTCATATCTCAAGTACTCTTGCAAACTAACATGAGTACTAAATTTGGACACTATAATATAATAGTAGTAAGGAAGGATAACCATGGTATAAAGTTTTCTGAATACTTGTTCAAAAGTAAAAGTTTTTTGTTGCAGTAAGGTAAATTGGAGTGGTAACTACTTCTCATACATAATTAGAGATTTCGATTTGATCTCTGGGTATAAAGATGCATTTGTTAGAAAGTTTTTTACTCTCAATATGGCTCAATGTGGATTTTTTGGAGTAAATTTGAATTTAGTCGGATCCCAATACAAATACCGAACATCGAATGATAACCCAAAGGTAACTCGTATAAATTTATTGTACTTCTTAACTCTCCTTCCATATGCACTCATTGTGCATGGACCAGACTTGCCTTTGATCTTTAAATCCACAGTAAATTTTTTATTTTTCAACATAAAAGCCATTAGTCCCGTCTGCCACTAAAGCAAACAAGAATTCATTAGACCATATTTCTAGCCTTTCTTCTTTTGACTTCTGACCATTCTCTGAATTTTTTCTTTTTCTCCCACTTCACATTTGAATCTTGTCTTCTCACTACAACAAAAAACTCAAAGATTTAGGCTTTTCTATCCTTCCAATTTACTCTCAGTAATTCTACCCAAAAATAAAAAATAAAAATAAAAATGGCAATTGATATGATCTCAGAAGCTCCAAGTCTAGTCACAAGTCCAAGAATTTCTTTTTCTGATGATCTTAGCCAAAAAGATGCTAATGCTAATTCTTCTGCTGCGGCCACTGAAAAATTCCCATTAATTTGCTCAGATTCTAATTCTGAATTCGATTTCTGTATTACCAACAGCACAAATACAGAAACTTCTTCAGCAGATGAGCTTTTCTTAGATGGCTTAATTCGACCTCTTCAACTACAAGAAAAGTTTGTCACTTTAAACCAAGAAATCTTGAAAAATATATCCAAGACTCAACCTTTAAATTCTCCTCCAAATCAACCAACCCCAAGAAATTTTGAAACCTCCCCAAAGGATCAAACCAAATCCTTTTGGCGGATAAGGAGAAGTAGTAGTCTTCATTGTGAAAACAGCAACAAGAAAAGCTCATTTTGGTCTTTACCTTTACTATCACGTAGCAATTCTACAGGTTCAGAAGGTCAGAAAAACAATGCACAATTCAAGAAAATGAAGAATATGAATACATCTGCAGCTAATTTTTACGCATTTCCATCGTCACAAAAGCCATCATTGAGAAAGAATTATGGATTAGGGCATAATTATGGTAATGGGGTTTGCATTAATCCTGTTTTGAATGTGCCACCTACTTTCATTACTAAGGGTACTGCTAATCTCTTTGGTTTGGGGTCCTTTTTTGCCAATGGAAAAGAAAAGAAGGGTAAGAAATGATTTATTTGTACTTAGTACTTTGTTCTTATTGTTCTTACTATAAAAAGTTATTGAAATCCATCATAGTGTGTTTACATAATTTTAGGGGTCGTTTGGTTTGAAGATAATTGATGTTGGGATTAATTATGTTGGTATTAGTTATATGAGATTAGTTATTTGTATGTTGCACTAATCTTGGATTGTCAATTTTACTGATTTATCCTGCGATTATTATTCCATCATCTGCAGGTATAAGCTATCCGTTATTATTTTTTATTCCTGGAATTATTTATTTCAGAATTAATAACCAAACAAAACTAAGATGATACTAAATTTTTATCCCAAAATTATTTTTATTTATCAATGTATCAAACGAATCTTTAATGTTATTTGGTGATGACTTTATTCTTCTTAATATCTTTGGACAGAGGATAAGAATTTGTACTCAGGATATCTGCAGAAGTTGGGTACTTTTTGTCCTTTGTGTCCATCTAAATAAGCAATTAATCATTAAAGTCACAAAATTATTAAAAATGTAAAATTTAATGTGGCTTAGGCTTAGGGGACACAAAGACAAGAGGCCTTTTGTGGTTGTCCCTTTTGTTTCTTTCATTTGAAATCTTGGATTTAAAGGGTTTTTAATATCAATTTCAAGATTACTTTTTGGTCCGACTTTTCGGTTCAATCTTTTGATAAGATATGATATATTTGATTAGGTTCAAACTTTTGAGGAGTGGTTTATGGTTTCAGTTGCTTTTGTGTGTTTTTGTGGGATTCAGACAATAGCATCCTTCCAAAATCAAAATAAATAATGGCTTTTACCAGGGCAAAATGTAAATTATTGGTCTTAAATATATGTGAAATGTAATACTCCCACTATATTTAAGTATTTCCTCCGTCCTAAATTTTCGGTCATGTTTGCTTTACTAAATTCAAATTATATTAACTTTAACCAATATTTAAATATATTTTTCATATTGAGATTGATATGAGAAAAATTGTAACTTCTGATACTTATAGTTTTTATCTTAATTTTAATTTTAAAATATTTAGTCGATCTAATCTAATTTATCTCCAAAAATTAGTCTGATAATTTGGGACGGAGGGAATATATGAAAACTGGTGTTCATAATTGCAATTACTGGTTTGCCCCTAGAATTTGCAAATATTAAACTTTAGTATCTGAAACACTTGAAAAATATGGAGTAACCTGTATTTCAAACGAGGCTGTAGCTTTTACTCACAAATCTACAATTTTTTCTCCAAATGAAATTCATTACCAAACATAACTTCCTAACTACTTTTTTTGAACATCAACGTTTCAAATAAACTTTATTTTTCTTCAAGTATGTTTAGATACTCTATTTTTCTATTATATAAACATTATTTTCCCTAGTCCCACCTTCCATTTTTCAGTCTTGAGTTTTGAGTGACTGCTAAATCTTCTTGAAAATAGAGACATTGAGCATCATATAAATAATAGGAACTCTAAATAATAACAATAATAAATTCAGTGTAATCCCACAAATGGGGTCTAGGGAAGGTAGTGTATACGCAGTCTTATCAGTGGCGGAGCCACCTTATCCAAAGGGGTATCAACTAACACCCCTTCGTCTGGAAAATTACACTGTATAGTTCGGTAATTTTTATTTTATATGTATATATTACTATATGTTGACTTCCCTTGACTTTTTCATGTATTTACTTCTTTATATTTTGACATCCCTTAATAAAAATTCTGACTCCGCCACTGAGCTTTACTCTTACCTTGTGCAGGTAGAGAGACTGCTCGACTCCAAACAAGCATGCAAATCACAATAGTATAGCGAAGAAATATAGTAATGGAAAAATCAGGAAAATAGTAACAACAACAACAACAACAACAACAAGTAGAACAACCAAAACACAAGCAATTACGGGTTCTAATAGAATTTTAACGATATGGAAATTTAAAATACGTAAAGAAAGGGAAGATGGCAAATAAGGCAGGTGAGAATGTACCAAAGGATCTCACCAGAGCATTAATTGGAAGTTTGACTTCAACATCCCCTCAGCAATAAAGTGATGGTGCTATGCTTATTTGCCTAACAAAAGTAGAAAATTGTTCACCATATTTGTTCTATATATAACACATTCCTTAGTTTAACCAAATTCACTAACTGAATTCTTGGGTGAAATATGTCTAGAATGTCCCATTTGGGCATCAAATATTGTTTCATTATCTTAAATACTACTAAATAAGCTTCAATATCTGCAAGTACCCATTTTGCCATCAATATTAATATTCATATGAGAAGCATTTAAATTTGAAATACTTAATATTACTAGCTTTGACTCACAAATTTTCAACTTTCCATAAATAAATAATCAATCAAGTGAAGTTCATGTCCCAATACAACAATTTACTTTCATGAAATAGTCTTTTTGAACTCTATCTAAAATCTCGAACTCATAAACTCAAAATCCGAACCCATTGGTCAGTCCTTAATTTAACAGACACAAAGCTAAAACAAAAAGTGAAAACCAAAAGGGAGATTTTTTTTTTTTTTTTTTTTTTTTTTTTTGCGCGCGAGAGATGGCCCTCCAAGACTCCCATAATCGTTCACATTTTTACACAAATAGCCAGTCATATTAATTGTTTACTTTTTCTAATCATATACATTGATTATATACAATATACACATGTAATAATACATAAAATATACATATATTATGCAATCACCGATTATTTTTAGTTTAAGTGGTAGGGTAGACGACTATTTGGGTTAATTCTTTTTAAATTTTTGCTAGATTAAAACATGGTAAAATCTAAAACAGAAACATACGTGCAGTAAATGGTACAATGCTTCATCAGATACGTATGTTGATTAAATGATTATATATTATACTTTTTGTTCCAGTAAATGATTGACCATCTTTGGGTTTAAGCATTTCTAAACCCAAAAGATAGTACGTAGTACTACTAATTAGTTTCAGTTTGAAACCCAGAGACTATACCTTTTAGTAAGTTAGAGGAATCTAAAAGGTACAGACATAAGACAGACAAGAAATGGGCAACACTCTTCTGACTATACATCGACTTAACTTTCTGAATACTGCGATAGGTCAATATCAATCAGACAAGAGAAGAACAACTTTGGAAGTTCTTTGAACATCATCATTGTACCATTTTCAACAAACCCCTTAGATATATTTTTTTTCTTTTTCTGTTCCTAGAATTTTATATTTTATAGGGATGCCCTTGTCATCCAAAACTTGTGCATAGTAGATCAAGAAAGCTTCACGATTAATAGGAGTAGAGAAGAAGGTAGTATATATCTATGATAGGAAATTTAATGCACTCCATCATCATTCTTCAGCCAAGCAAATCTCTTTGCTTCTGTCTTGAGTAAGATAGAAGAAAATTAATGTTTGCCAACCACCCATCAACAAGTAATGAAATTGCGAGGACTGTGCTGGAATGATTGAGATCCATCTATCTTTCATCAAATAATGTCTCAAATTCGAGTCATGGAAAACTTCTTGACATGTAGCGTTTTAGCCCCTTATCAAGCTTACTCGGTATAAATCTGAATTAGCGGTAGCATAAATAATTGTAATACACATCTTCGTTAGAGTGGAAAGGAAATAGATAACCTTCCTAACTCAAGCCCTCACGAGTTTGGCGTTCGTACTACACGTTACTTAATTTAGATATTCCTAGTTACATTAGTCATTTTCAGTTTAGTGCATAATTATACCATTACTGTAACCTACAACAGAATTAAAAAGAGAGAATGATTAAGGAACAGCTCATATAAAGCCTGGTTTTACCAGAATGAATAATCATCTTGGGGCTGCTCCTATCACAACTTTAGTGCTACTGTCTACAGTCCCAAAGGCATGAATCTAGTCTTAAAATTCTACAAGTACGATGATAAAGGAGGTCCATGTATACATGTAAGACATAACTGGTAAATATGCCACTCAATAGAGGGTCCCTAAGAACATGAAGTTATTATCTTAAGAAAAAGGGGAAAATTAACTTTAAATTGTCTCCCAGATTCCGCCAATGTACACAAGTAAAGAACGACCCATCCCTAAAGATACTCACTTTTTCCTCAAAAGCAGCCTATTAGAAGATTTCCGGATACACGTATAATGAAGGGAAGAAAAACATGTCTAGAGCTATGCCGCTGTAGAATCATTAATATTCGTCTCAACTACAAAACTTGTGGATCTCCACCGGAGACCAGAACAGGCACGAGAGGAGAAAGAAGATAAATTAAAGGACGACACTCAATTCCGTGAGTCATCTGTTTAAAGCTACAGGTCCTCGTAGATGTATACCTTTACCAGCGGATTTTGGACATGCGCACCTCATTCCAGTAGAGGGAATTTCTCTATTCGTTCTTCTCTAGAACTCGAGTCACAAGACCAAGAGCAACAGTTCTTCCTGATGCCCTGAGGGACACCCTTCCAAGAGACTTACATTTAGAATGCTCTTCAACACAAATCATTCCTTGCAAGACCACCTAAACCATGACAAACAAATTAAAGTTAAGATCTCTTTTAAATAGTAGGTATTATCCAACCTTAACCTAGATACAAAGGCAGTTGCCTAGCACCTTTCGTGCACCCACTCCCACACAAGATTATTTTCTTCTAAAATGGATAACAGAAGCACATGAATAAACATAATAGTTTCTTTTGAGAGAAACCTCGACTATAGCATTCTGCTTTGCTAGAAGACATCGAGGTGATTTCTTGGTCTCCTTTCCAGTCTTTGGATCAAGCAATGACAAAATCCTCACAACTCTTGCAGCCTCCTTAGCATGGTGTACATGAAACTCCAACTGCACATTTTCAAATATCCAGGGCTCTAGAGTTATTAACAATTTCATGAAATACTGCAAATTTTGAGGGTAAAATGATCTATTAACAAGAGCTGCTACCTGAGAGCCAATCAAAATTGGAACGGCAATATCCAGGATGAGAATCTTCAGTTCCAAACAATTTGTAACAGCAATAGGATATTCAGGGTGACACAGCACATCCCCTGCCATTACACGATTCGCGTCTATACCTTGTAGATTAACAGTGACATTGTCTCCAGCTTTTGTACTGTTACAAACCTGAGAATCATGTTCCAAAGAACGCACTGTTGCCATTTCTCTTGATGGCATAACTAGAACCTGAAACATGTTAACAGTT